CTGCAGTCATTTTCTCTACGATCCCTAGACACAGGGCCAATTGAACAGAGGATGTAAAGTTAAGAAAACTGGTTTATTTCCTCATCATCTGAGCCTTTGAAGTATCTGTGAATACTTATTAAAACTTTCTTCATCTAAGAAGTCTGCTGAGGGGGGCATAACTGGTATTTTAAATATCAAAGTAGCTGGGTATATAGCTCAGTGGTAGAATGCTTGCCTAGCATGTGTAAGGGTCTGGGTTCAATCCCCAGCACTGAAAAAAAAAATTAAAATTCTACAAATATCTTCTATGCTAAACTAGATTTAAGGGAAGACCTCAAATTGTGCTAGTGGTGCTCTCAGATGCTTTCACTGTCTTGTACTCAAAGACATGGGGTACTATGAAATGGCTTGATGGCTTGCTTGGACAATAAGCTGGTGTTTTGATCAGTTTCCCCAAATGAGTCATAGGCTCTGAGATGTTTGTATTGGAGTGGGGAAATATTTGGTTTCCACAATGCAAGTTGCCCTTTGTCCTGGCTTCAAGAGAATTCCAGATTTTAATGCTACAGTTTGGGTCTGAAATGTCCCCCAAAGGCCCTTGTGCTAAAGGTGGAACCTGTAAGAGGTGAGGTGAGGCCTAGTGGAAGGAAGTTAGGTCATCAGGGTGGGCCCGAATAGAGGGTGTGGGTGCCCTGGCCCCTTCTGGTCCATGTGTTTGCTTCCCAGCTGCCATGAGATAAACAGCTTTCTCCAGCACACACTCCCGTTATGCTAGCCTTCTCACTACGGTCCCCAAAGCAACAGGGCCAACCAGCCAGGGACAGGAGCCTCTAAAGCTGTGAATCAAAACAAGTCTTTCCTTTTGTAAAATTGATTACCTCAGGTACCTATAGCAGTAACAGGAAGCCAAAGTCTGAGCCATATAAATGAAAAAGTTCTTTGCCTCTAAATCAACAAATGGGCCAGGCACAGTGGCTCACGCTCGTAATCTTCACTACTTGAGAGACTGAGATTAGGAGGATCACAGTCCAAGGACAACCCAGCAAGTAACTCCCATGATCCCATCTTCAAAATCACTGGAGCAAAAGGGACTGGAGGTGTGGTTCAAGTGGAAGCGCGCCTGCTTTCCAAGTACAAAGTCATGAGTTCAAACCCCAGTCCCATCAAGAAAAATAAAAAGACATGCAAGAGATAAATAAAATAATTGAAAATAAAAATTTAAAGTGCCGTGATTCCTGTTATAGAGTGCTGTGAAAGAGACTACTGGAGTCAGGAAAGGGGTAAGTCAAGGCCCAGAAAGGGGCCATCCAAGCAAAGACCTCAGTCCCAGAGTGAGCTCCTGTGAGGAAACATGTAGATTTCTCAGCTCCCCAAATATCCACTCCCTCTGCCAGTCTCTTCTGGAGTGAAGAGGTCTCCCTCCCCTTCACAGGGAGCTGGCAGGATTCAGCAAGCGGGTGACAGGTGAACTTGGCACTGCCCTTGGCATCCAGGTGGCACTGAGCAAGTGTCCCCTTCTTCCTCTGATTCCTGTCTTTTTTGCCACCTACTGGGCCAAATTTGGTACCTGCCTGGACTTAGGATGGTCTGTACACCATGAAAACAATGCACTGTGTTTAAACAATTACTATCATAAGCAATAAAACAAAATAACATTAAATAAAATAAGGAGAAGGACGAGATATATTTCATCATTAAGAATAAATTGTTTGGTCCAGCTGATGAGTTCCAGGGGAACAAATGTGTTAGCTCAGTTTTCCCATTTGTCGGTGAGACTCTGAATTCCCTCTCTCAGCCAAATGACCATGGTTGAGAGCAAAGGGTAGCTGGGCAGGTGAGAGTGGGATGAAGGTACCTTCTGGATGAATGCCTGCAAGCATCTCAGTCCCCATCTTATGCAGAACCTTACTCCATCCATCACTTGCAATAAAAGCCTCCCCTTTAACCAAGCTGCAGCCATTTGCCTGACACTAAAAAAAATTCAGGGTTTTCCTGCCAGATATATATGTCTCTATATTTTATTAGATATAAATTACCTCCAAAGCCACTTCTTTTTGCAGCGAAGGTTACTGTATCTGTCCAGCCTCTTTGTCCGTTAGAAGAATGTGGATCTTGTGGTTAGACTTGGCTTTAAGTTCCCACTCTGTTCTGCTAGCTGTGTGACCTTAGGGAAAGCTTTTAACCTCTCTGATTTTCAGTCTTCTCATTTGTAATAATAATCCTTACCAATTGAATCCATTTTTGTTGTCAGTACTGGGGTTTGAATTCAGGGTTTTGCTCTAGCCAGACAAGTGCACTACCAAGTGAACCACATTTCCAACTCTTTCTGCTTTAGGTTTTTCCCTTCTTGGTTTTTTTTTAATTATTACTATTTTATTTTTTGCAATACTGGGGCTTGAACTCAGGGCCTACACCTTGAGCCACTCTGCCAATCCTTTTTGTGATGAATTTTTTCAAGGTAGGGTTTTACAAACTATTTGCCTGTGTTGGCTTCAAACCACAATCCTCCTGATCTCTGCCTCCTGAGTAGCTAGGATTACAGATGTGAGCCACCAGTGCCAGGCTTCCTTCTTGTTTTGGTTGTTGTTTTTAGATAGAGTCTACTGCTTTTGCCTGGAGCTGGCCTCAGACTGTGATCTTCCTACCTCTGCCTCCTGAGTAGCTGGGATTACAGGTGTGATTAACCACAGCCTGAAATTTTATCCATTTATACAACAAATATTTGAGTTTGTATTGTGTACTGCCACTGTGAAAATCTAGAAATCATGAAATTTCACAGCAAATCAAGCAGACAAGTCATCTATCCTTGTGGATCTTATAATCTAGTAAAGAAAACTGTAATAACCCAGTAAATAAACACTCAGGACTGTTCCAGATGGTGATAAATTGTATGAAGGCAAGGCGAGGGTAGGGGGGAGTGATGAAATAAAGTGAGCTCCTTATGTGGCCTTGAGCGAAGACCAAGAAAGAGAACAAAGGCTGGGGGTGTGCCTGCTTAGTAAACTCAAGGCCCTGACTACCACCACCACAAAAAGGGAGAAGGGGAGGAGAATGAGCTGTTAAATGGCTTCAGGCAAAAGGAACACAGGCACAAAGGACTGAATGAACTTGTGGAAAGTGTCCTGCCATTTTAGGAACAGAGACGAGCATAGTTTCTGTGAGGAAAGTGGTACCATGCGAGGTCAGAAAGGGAGGTGGAACACCTGGCATCATGGCTCATGCCTGTAATCCTAGCTACTTGGGAGGTTGAGATTAAGAGGATGACAGTTCAAGGCCAGCCTGGGCAAATAGCCTCTAAGACCCTATCTCCAAAATAACCAGAACAAAATGAACTGGAGGTGTGGCTCAAGTCATAGAGCACCTGCTTGAAGTCCTGAGTTCAAACTCCACTCCCACCAAAAAGGGGGGAGCGGGGAAGGTGGAGGTCACATCACACAGGACATGGCAAGGAATTTTAGGATTTACTCTTATCAGGATGGTAAGTCAGTAAAAAAATGGTTAAGAATTGTACATGGTTTATGTTTTTAAAGATCAGAGGTGAAAGAACAATAAGAAACAAGTGTAGGCCTGGGGGCTGGAGGTGAGGCTCAAGTGGTAGAGTGCCTGCCTAGCAAGCACAAGGCCCTGAGTTCAAACTCCAGTGCTATAGAAAAAGAAAAACAGAAAGAAAAAAGAAAGAAGTATAGGAGTAGGGAGGCCAAGGTCATCGCAAGGATGACCTACAATTCCCAAAGTAAGGACCATCGCCCCTGTCTTATAAGGTCTCTATGAATGCTAGTTAGCTCGTGTGGAAGAGCTAAGTCTATCCTGTCCAAGACAGCAGCCAAGAGTCACAGGTGGCTATGGAACATTTGAGACATGCCTAGAGCAACCAGGGACTTAAATTTCTCAATTTACTTAATTTTAATCTAAAAGCTAACATTTAATTCGGTTATTGGGAAGTATAGTTGAAAATTCTTGGATATAGGAGTCTATAAATTTTATAAAATATGAACACAGATTCAAATATTTTTATAAAAGTTCTATGTCCAAATTGAGATGTACTATAACAGCAAACTATACACACAACCTCAAAAACTTACTATGAAAAAGAGAAAATGACTTGCTAATGATTTTTCTGTTGATTACATGTCCATTTAAAAACTAGAACTGAAAATTTTAATATTTATTAATTCATTCAAGATGACAATACTCCCATTAATGTTAATGTAATTTGTTAAATAAATAATAAATGTATTTCCAAAAAAAACAAATACAGTAAGAAGAGTGGTATTGTTTTAAATTTTTGCAACTCTCTGGCTTAATAGCTCAGTGGTAGAGCCCTTGCCTGGTAGGGGTGGGAGTGGGGGAAGAAAGACCACAACTGGTGAAATCTCTCATCTCCTTTTGTATTCAATCTGTTGTCTTATCACATGGCACGTATTCATGAGAAAATGAGTCGAAAAAGGCAAATAACATTATTTTGAAAACTACTGATCATGCTGTGAAGGACACTTTGAAAACCACTGGAGAGAAAACTTTATTTTTGGACAAGGTTTATGTTTCCAAATCTTCTATACTCGAGCACGAGACAGGCCAGAGTGAAAAAAACGAACAGTGTTAAAGCAACAAGGACAGACTTTCTCCTTTTTTCTTTTGTGCTAAGAGTTTTGCCGTACTTCAAGATGGCTACCGTCTCTCACATTTTTGGTCCGTACAATGACGTCACGCAGCGACTTAGAGCCTTTCCTCCCTGAGGCTGCCATTACATTTCCCAGAATGACTTGCCAACATCGACGCCATTGGTCGGTGGCGACGGAAGTGCACCTGACTGAACGGAAGTAGAAGGTCTCAGAGGCTCGGAAGGAGGAGAACCGCGGAGCTGCGGGGCTGTGAGTAGTCGGGTGGGTTTGGTGGCTTGGGGGTGAGGTACGTGGTTGGGCCATGATCCACTGGAAAGCGCTGGGTGACATTTCCCTAATGCTGGGAACCCAAGCTTCTTTCTGCGTTCTTTTTCTGACCTGGGAGCGGGGAGAAATAGGACATTCCTGTGAAGGCGAGGTCTCCATATTGCTGTATGGCTGTTTTAACTTTTCTTGGAACGAGCTAGGGTGAATTCGGACTTTGTCGCGACACCAGAGTCACTGGCGTGATTTTGCAGCGACCAGAGGGGCGGGACTGCTGACGGTCTGACTCAGCTTCTAGAGTCGTCGTTGTTAATTGGCTGCACGCTAGAATGTCCTGGGACACTTAAAAACCACAGCTGCCCTGCCTGGCGCGACTCCAGACCAGTAAACCAGCATCTGGACAGGGTCTGCATGGCAGTGTATTCTAAACCATCCTAGGTGGTGTTACACGGCCGAGAGTGAGACCCAGCCTTCTGATTCTGACCCCACGAGGATCCCGATTAGGACCACTAGCCCCGTGGGCTTCATCACTTGATTTCGGCTAAGTTGACCCCGATTTTGCACAAAAGGCCGAGAAGCGGTGATGATGAGCCCGAGTGTTTTTTTGACACAGATTCCATTTTGAGCTCCACAGAAACTCACTCTTGGGCTTCCTGCGCCGGTGCTTGCAAAACCGGACTGTCCTTTTTTGTTGGCAGTTTGGCTATTCATCCTTAATAGAGGTTAGAACCGTTTCCTTTCTCTTGCCACTATTTTAGCTTCTGCCTGTCTTTTGCTACCCCTGCAAAACGCGAAAAGTGGAACGTGGAGTAGTCATACGAAAATCAAGCTCTTGTTCGGAACTAGGGGGTGTGGGGGAGTGGGGACATAGCTCAAGTGATAGAGCACTTGGAGGCCCTGGGTTCGGTCCCCAGCCTCCCACCCCCACCCGCGCAATCGGCATTATAAGGAGTTCTGGTGACAGATTTGACTGGGAAAACATATTCGTTAAAATGACGTTTGAATTCCTGTGAAAGGAAGTTGGGCTGTGTTTTGGACTTTGATGCAGAAACTGATTTAAACAGAATTTTTTTTTTCAATATTAGCACCATTGCATAACCGATGCTTTTCTCTTTCTCATATGTGTAGCCTCACCCCCCATCACTGAATTCAGCATGGGGGAGAAGTCAGAGAACTGTAAGGTTCCAGAGGATATGTTCAATGGTTTGAAGGTTACAGAGCCTCAGGAAACAGAGCATAGGAAACCTCAAGTTCCTGATCCCAGAGATCAGCATTCCCAGAGCAAGCTGCCCAAGGAGGATGAGGCCCCGCCCCAGGAGGACCAGGGAGAAGAGGAGTGTTTTCATGACTGCAGTGCCTCATTTGAGGAGGAGGAGCCAGGAGTGCATAAGGTTGAGAACAAAGCTGGTGATGATGCAAATACCTCTGAGCTAGATGAAGAATACCTAATGGAACTGGAAAAAAACATGCCCGATGAAGAGAAACAGGTAAGTATCTACTTGTTGTACACAGTCTGTCTCTCAGGCTGCTTTTAAAAATTAATAAATGTAAGCCAGGATATGGTGCTGTGCACCTACAATCCTAGCACATGGTGGGAGGCTGAAGCTGAGTTCAAGGCCTGCACAGTGAGACTCTCTCTCAAAACACAAAAATACAAGGCTGGTGGAGTGGCTCAAGTGGTAGAGCGCCTGCCTAGCAAGTGTGAGGTCCTGAGTTCAAACCCCAGTACCGACAAAAGAACCAAACAAAAAAGACTAAATGTGATTGAGTCTGTATAATAGACTCCTTCATCTGTGTAAAGAATAACCTGCCCCTTTGTGTCCTTATTACTTCAGTGGTGGTGAATCTGAGATAAATCAGTGTCATGACAGGGAAGCATAAAGCAGGTCTGCTTAGCAAAGAAATTTCCACTGTTTTCTGCGAACTTGGAGTTCTTCATTTATCTTGAGTTTCTTTTTTTATTTTTTGGTAGGACTGGTGATTGAACTCAGGGCTTCTCACTTGCAAAGTGGGCACTCTTGAGCTGCCGCTCCAATCCATTTTGCACTGGTTATTACAGTCTCACGAACTATTTGCCCAGACTGGCCTCGAACCATGATCCTCCTGATCTCAGCCTTCCGAGTAGCTAGGATTACAGGTGTAACCACTGAGCCCGGCTTCTTTATCTTATACTTCATAAATCTGTAACATGTTTTCTAATATATATAACTCTTAGCTTTTTTCCTTACCTTTTTCCAGGGTTGACTGCTGAAATTTCTGTAATGAACATTTTTTATAAGACTGTTTAGAATTATGGTATACTTCCTATTTGTTAATCCCTTGCTAGCAAAATAAGACTGCCCAAATATCTTAGTAGCATTTTGGTTACACAGGACAGTGACTGGGTCTCAACATTGCATATGATATTAGCTGTCATTTGTTGAGCACCTACTGTGCCAGCAACTAAGCTGAAACATTACTTGTTTTATTTAATCCTCACAACAGGTCTTTGAGATGTATAGTGTTACCATTCCCCAAGAGGAAGCAGAGCTTAGAGTGATAAAGTAGCTTGCCCACGATTACACACCTAATAAATGGCAGAATTGACTCTCAAACGCCTATCTGCTTGATTTTGAATCCTAACTATAGCATAGCATTTAACAACAAAAGCATCATCTTCCTTCAAAGCATATATGTATACCAGCCAAATGTATACTGTCCTGCTTCTTTGCCCCTGGGCTATATCTTTAACTAAGTAAAACTTCTCTTTTGGAAGTCTGTGTGTCTTCCATATATCCTTCTTTCTAGCACACAAGCAAGGTAGTTTAAAGGATCACCATAATATCTGAGCTTATCTGCAAAGAACTCAAGTGAGATTGTGGTTTATACCACTGAAGAGCTCACTCAGCACATAGGTTGGTATAGAATGGCAAAGGGATGAGATAATAAATGCAGGGAAACAATGGGGGTGGGATGAGGAGAAAAATCTTTATCTCTCCCTGGGCACTTTTCCTTATCAATAATTGGTTTTAATGTGAATGTGTTAGCTTTTGTACTAATGTATGCTGTTTGAAGAGAAGGACTAATGGGCAAAAATGAGCCAGTTTCATAAACTACCTCAACAAATGTGTCTCAGAACATTAAATCACTGCCACTCCACAGCATTACAGAATGATTTCACAGAAGACCAGTTTGGAGTTCCGTTTTTGTGTTACTAGCACAGAGTTTTTAGAAGCATTGACTAAATGTCTGTGTTAAAGAGTTAGCAGTGCTGTTCTCATGCCTAAATGTATGTTGCCTGATATTGTAGTGAGGCTGTAGTGATCTAGGCTTGGAAGCTGAGTGGCTTGGCTCAAAACAGCTCATGTTTTGCTCCTCGCCTTCATTTCTACCACCCAGGGAACCATTGTTCTCATTCTTATCCCAGAGGTTTTTTTTTTTTTTTTTTTTCTTGTTCCAGATTTTCAACCCAGGGCCTTGTGTATGCTAGGCAAGTACTTTACCACTGAGTTATACCCCCAGCCCTCTATTAGCTATTTTGATGCTAGTTAGATAAATATCCTTATAAAATTATCACAATTAACCTGCAAAACAGATGAAGAAATGTTTTCACTGCATATATGGTTTGGTTTTTATGGGTCATTGGGAACAGGAGAATGTTACACTTGACTTTACATAAGTTCAATTAAAAAAAATCTTTAATGGCAAAAATATGTGAAATGACTTTCAGCCTCACAAATGATTAAAAAGTGCAAGTTAAAACATTATGTCTCATCTCTCAGAACATCAGTCTGATGTTGAAGATGACATAGAAGCTCATGCACTAATTAATATTGGGAAATTAAATTGCTACATCATTTCTATGACCTACAGGTACAATTTTTTTTCTCCAGTGCTGTGGATCAAACCCAGGGCCTTGTGCAATGCTAGGAAAGCACTCTACCACTAAGCTGTATCCCAAGCCCCTGATAAAATTTTTTCTTTAAACTAGGGATGTTAGTAATGGCAGTGTTGGCTACATCTGGCTTTTGAGCACTTGCAGTTTAGCTGTCATAGCTAAGAAACTGTTTATTTTATGTTTATATTTAAATAATGTAGCTGGTGGATACCGTATTGGAGAGCACAGCTTTAAACTGCTGGTTCTTTTCTAGACATTTATCTTCAGTCATTAGCGATATGCACAAATCATATGTAGGTACAAAGATGTGTTGCAGCATCATTTGTAATTTTGAAAGACTAGAAAATATTGAACAGAGGATATTTGTGGTATAATAAGGGTATTTGGTCTTGATCTCTAGTTCCTGTATCCACACCCCTTAAAGCCCTTGGAATTTCCTAAGCGTGGTATCTTTTGTTATTCATAATGAGACAAACACACTTTTTCTTTTTCCTATGCTAGGGCTGGAACCCAGGATTTTATGCATGCTTGGCAAATGCTGTACCTCTGAGTTACATCCCCAGCCCCCATAAGCCTTTTGTTCTGGGGCGGGGAGGGGGCACTGGGGTTTGAACTCTACACTACAAAGCAGGCATTCTCCTACTTGAGCTACACCTCCAGTTCATTTTGCTCTGGTCAGATGGGAGTCTCACAAACTACCTCCCTGGGTTGGCTTAGAACCTTGATCCTCCTGATCTCACTGATCTCAGTCTCCTAAATTGCTAGGATTACAGACTTGAGCCACTGGCACCTAGCTCCCCAGCAGCCCTTTTTTGATAACTCCTGAGTTTATGCTAATTAGGTGCTTTAGGAGTCACCAAGAGATTAGAGGGTTAGAACTTTGAGCCTTATTTACCCAACTCCAGAGGAGGGAGGCATGGAGATTAAGCACTATAAAACTCTTGAAGGAGAGGTTTGGTGAGTTTGCACACTGCTGAGCACATGAGGTACTAGGTGCTCAGGGTGAGTTTCTCCCATACCTTTCTATATGCATTTCTTTGCCTGACTGTTTAACTGGGTCCTTTGTAATATTGCCAAACACTAAGCAGGGGTGGTAGGAACTGGTCGTCAAAAGCATGGGTTACAACCTGAGACTTGAACTTGTGCGTTTGGTGTCTCGAGGGGGCTGGCCTAATGGGACTGAGTCCTTTACCCATGGGATCTGATACTGCCTTCAGGTCGATAGTGTCAGAATTGAAGTAGAGGGCGCACAGTTGGTGGCCACTAGAGAATTGCTTGATGTGGGAAAAACCTCAGGTTTGGTGTCAGAAGTGTCATGGGTATATGTAGTAGGATAAGGAACAGAGTGTTTTTGCCAGAATATTATTGTTTAAATTTTGTCATATTTTTACAGTGCAATGTAGTCATTAAAAAGAAAGATAAATCTTAAGTATTCATTTGGAAAGAGACCAGTAATGTAATGTTAAGTAAGTTAAACAGGTTATACAATCATGGTAACTTCTAAGTTAAAAATTTACATGACAGTATGTTTAAATATAAGTTTTAAAGCATATACACCAAATTATAAGCAGTAAGCTTTAAAAGGTGTGATTATTAGCATTTCATTTATATTTCACATGACTTTGTAATACTGGCTTTTTTACACAAGCATATACTAAACGTATAACACTAACAAAGCTATACAATTTTGAGTATATGGATAAGTAAAAATGGATTCTTTACAAATAAGCATATGTTCTACCAAAACACATGAAGCTTGACCTTTGAGAATTTATAGCATCTGTGTTTTTCAAGTTGAACATCCCTAATCTGAAACTCCACAATGCTCCAAAATTCAAAACTTTTTGTTTTGTTTTTGTTTTTGAGACAAGGTCTCACTGTAGCTGGCCTTAAACTCAATGTATAGCCCAGTTGGCCTCAAACTCTCAATTTTTCTGCTTCTGCCTCCTAGTACTGGGATTATAGATATGTGCCACCATGCCTGGCAAAAAAATTTTTTTAAATAATTGTACAAAGGGTTACATTGTGATTTGTCCATACCTGAATATAATGTGCTTTGATCAAATTCACCCCTCTATTACTCTTTATTATCCTTTCCCACCACATTTATATAGTTTTTAATGAGTCTCATTGTTATTTTCATCCATGCATATAAAGTACTTCAGTCACATTCATCCCCCTCATTTGAGGACCACTTGTCATGGGGCTTACACACAGTCTTCTCCATTAAATAGCTATTGAATGACTAATAATATCTTTCCCTTGAAGACCAGTCATTGGCCTTAAAAGTAACAAGTATTTTTTTCTGCTCATTTATTCAAGAGGTTTTTTCAGCTCTTCCACATGCCAGGCCTTGTTTGAGGTCCCGAGGGATGTGTGGTACACAAGACAGAAAGGGATTCAGTTCTCTAATAGGGGTATTCTAGTTGGAATGTTAAGGTGAAGTGATGAAGTAGTGGGGATTGGGAGGATGGTGCTGTGACCTGAATGTTTGGGTCCCTCCAAAGTTGATCTTCAAGGGCTGAGGCCATACCTCAAGTGCTAGAGCACTTATCTTGCATTCACAAGGTCCTGGGTTTAATCCCCAGTTCTGAAGTCAATCAAAAAAGA